CCTCTCGCTGCCCCAAGCCTCTGGCCTGTACCCCAGTTCTGTATGCACGAATAAATAAATCTTTAAAAAAAAGAAGTTGTGGTCAATATTCACAATGGAATACTACTCATTGATCAAAAAAGACAAACTCATGCCATTTGTGGCAACATGTATGGAGCTGGAAGTAATTGTGCTAACTGAAATAAGTCAAAAGGAAAAGGTTATATATGGATGTTACAGTGCTATTGCAAGCTATTAAGAATATAGTGTCCCAAAAATATGTACAAGGCTTTTATATTTGGGTATTGGAGAAGATTTTGCAAGAAGAATAAGAGAATTTGGATCAAAAGTTTTTTTATTGAATGCTAAAAGTGACACATTCTCATCTTTATTCCTTTTTAAAGTTAGCGAGAATTCTAACCAAACATTGAGTTTAGTGGCAAATAATGATACAACCACTACTGTTTTTGAGCACAGTGTGCCAAGCACTGATCTAGTTGCATTATATGTATTACATTATTTGTTACTCACATAAACCTGTTAGAGAGAAAACATCCCGTTTGCAAGGTAGGAAACTGAGGCTCCGAGGTTCAAAGAAGTTAACTTATCCCAAGTCACATTGCTAATTAAGTGATAGAGCCTGTATTTAAGTCCCTGCTTCTTTCCACTCACCTGGAGGGCCCAGAACAGGTGTAATGAGAAGACAGGATGATGGTGATATACACAGGATAGGGACAAATGAGACATTGGTCAAAATGAGAGCCACAAAAGAAAATAAGAAGTAGGACAGAAAAGGCAAGAAAAGGGGACCAAGTATTGGGGAAGACAGAATCCTTTAGACTGATTTGTTCACATAAAGTGGTACTGTTTCGATAAGTGTAATCATTCTGTATCTCAGCTGACATTGTTGTGAGTCCTATGGGATTGACCAGATGAGTCCATTTCCCACCTTAGGTAGTGTCTCTGGAGAGCTATTTCAGAGCAGAGAATAAGCAAAACATCTAATGCATAGCCTGACAGCGTCTAGGAGCTGGAGGCAAATAAAACTCAAGTGATTTAAATTTAAATGTGTCTTCAGTGGACATATGCAACATTACACCGACTTTACAGAAAATACTATGAATTTAATTCACAAAGGGGTAGTAAAACACAAGAAATTTTTCCAATGTAAGAAAAAGCAACAACTTTTCTCATGTGGGTCAGTTTCATAGTATAAGTATATATAGTGAGTACACCCAAATTAGTATTTATCAAAAATATAAAAGAGATATCTAATATTTATTAAGCGATTCCTATGTGCTGAGTGGTTTACATGTTTAATGATCAGGAGGAGCCTGAAAACAGGATGATGGTGATATATATGTGATAGGACAGATGGGGGGCAAAAATGGGAGGCACAAAAGAAAATAAGAAAGGAATGGAACAGAAAAGGAGACCAAGTATTGAGAAAGAGGGACTCCTTTTAGCCTGATTTTTTCCCACAAAGTGGTAACATTTCAGTAACTATAATAGTATTTAGGGGCCCTCCCTGGTGGCACAGCACTGTGAAGCTGTCCACAGCCACTGCAGTGCGGGTTTGTTCCCCAGCCAGGGAGGTGTCCCACATGGCGTGCCAGGCCTCTCCTGACCTGCCCGCTGCTCCCCTCAGCAGTGTACTTTGTCAGCCTGCCTGTTCTGCTCCCCACTCGAACTCTCGTGAATCCTCTCATATGTCACACCTCTGGCGGGCACCCTCGTTCTTGTATGCATAAATAACTATATCTTTTTTAAAAATAGTACCAAGGAAGTTGGTACTATTATGATTAAATACCCCCCTTTTTTTAAAAAAAGATTTATTTATTTATTTGTGCATACTGAACTGGGCTATAGGCCAGAGGCTCAGGGGCGGTGAGAGGCTTCACCAGAGACAGAGCGGGGAACAGAACAGGCAGATCCACGGAAGTACACTGCTGAGGGGAGCAGCGGGCAGGTCAGGAGAGGTCTGCCATGCCATATGGTCACCTCCGGGGCAGGCGGGAATCGAACTCATGCGGCAGTGGCCTTAGATTCTCAGTGCTGTGCTTTAACCCGCTGCGCCACCAGGGAGAGCCCTAAATACCCTTTTTAAAGGTGAGAAATTGAGGCTCAGGAAGTTAACCTACGACGTTGCCCAGCTAAAAGTCACAAAGCTTGAATGTGAATCCACTTGCTCCTAACACTGCTTTCTCCAGACTCTCCCAGTGACTATGAATGTGTAACCCCAATACCTCTACATTTTTCTCAGAAAAAAAATAAATAAATAAAAGGAAGAAAAGAAGGGAAGAAGAAAAAGAAAAGATTATTTTCTTGAAACCGGTACAGTTCTTGAAGAAAATAATATAGGATGATGATTGGAACAGTGTAGATGGTCTGAACGCACTATGACTAGGGAAGGAATCTGTAGCAAAGGATAGGACAAAAGATGGGGCATAAAGAAATGGAAACATGAAGTAAAAATATAAGAAAAGTGCAAGTAGTATGAAAGCAGGAAGAGAAAAAGGGCTCATAAATCTTTAAGACAGAATGAAAGTGTATGGTTGCATTTAAACTATCATTTCTCTAATTTGCCCCTTTTATTTCTAATTTCATGGTCTAAAATGACCCATTCAGTTCAGTCTTTGGAATTAATACTGTTTGTTCTGACAGTTTCTCTCCACCCTGAGTAATGCTCAGTTCCATTCTGCAAAGTTAGTGGCTCAGTGAAAGGTGAATGTGTTGTTTGCTCTTTTTGTCTCCTCTAGGAGGTTAATTAAGTCAACATTAAACATGGCTCTGTGACCACAGAATGAGCAGTTGCTTGAAGGCACATGGTTTGGATCTTTCCCTGCAAAATCCCCACTTCTATCATTATGTTTAGTGCTTTGACTGCCTGAATAGCTGGCGAGCAATGGGTTTGTGTGGTAGGGCAATCCCGAGCCTTGTTTGCAGCTGAGTTTGTCTACTTCATGGAGCCCTGAGCCAAGAGTATGTGGTGCTCCATAGACAGCCTCCAGATTCAACTTCTAGTTTCTTCTCCAGAAATTTCCCTGGGCTTAGCATCAGCGATTTGATGCCCAGTCCTACAATTCTCAAAATTGTTTACTGGATGTTTATAGATTTTTAACTTGTCCATACAACTCTGAAAGTAATGTAATATCATTAACATTTGTGGTATGGACCAATTCTGATGACTTTGTTTATATGGATATGACTGAATATTAAAAGAAAAAAAAGTACAGCTTTGCACAAAAGCCAATTTTTTTTTCATGTCAGTGCAGCTGTTTTAACTTTTAAGAAACCGCAAGCATTTTCATTCTCTAAAACTTTAATTTGAAAGGCATAGGACTTTTAAAGAAATACAATGTTTCTGAGACTGGTATATATTAACCTCCCTACTTCTCTTTAAACTTTTAAGAGTTGAATAAAGTCCCTGAGTTGAGATATTACATAGGAACTTTACAGAGCAAAATCCATGTTATTGCTGAATTCCAAGTACTTTTTGGGGTATTAAATTATACTGGCAATACTAGCATATGTAATAGAACAAAAGGTAACGGTGGCTCAGTTCTCATGATCTCCCTGTAAGCGCAGAGAATTTTCCATGGACACAGAGTCAGATGCCAGAAGGAAACAGTTGTGTGTTTTCCTGGGTTCGCTGTAGCCCAGCAAATCATGGTGGTGTTGTTTTGCTTCTTTTTTATGCTACAGCAACGATTCCACTTCCTGTTACATAGGAAAACCTATTCTGATGTTAAAAGAGGTCACTACATGTATTTATTACAACATTAAGACCATTTCATCCATGGAAATAATTTTTTATTGTTCTGAGTCATTCTGGTTTGTGGAATTTGTACATGAGTTCCAGGACAAAGATGAGATGCTATGTTTATTTTGCTTTGTATCATTTTTAATGTTTTTTAACTGCATGAATATCGGGTTGTTGTCATAGTGTTTCCATATTTTGATTATTTGGGAAGTTATACTGTCGTATGTGTGTCTCCACAATATTCACTGACATTCACTGTGTGTCTTGGGCTGTATTTTGGCAGAACTGCTTTTCCCAGTGCCGTGTGATCTCATGGTTTTCTTAGTCCATACTCATGTCTTCTCAATGTATGTCTTCGCTGTGTTAAAGGCAGATCTGTGTATAGAGCTTCAGAAATATTTAAATGATCTTGGTGAGCTGCTGGAAGGATTTGAATTAAATGTGAGCTGCAAAGGATATTTGTTTTGCTTTCATTTTTTCCTCTTGTATCAAAGTGAACCTCACTTAGAAGTGCTCCCTAGTTCAGACTGGAATAGCTCCTTGTGCTTTAGACTCCATCTGGGAACCATAGAAACATCTCTGAAATTCACATACAAGTAATCTTTGGTTTTGATAGCAATTATTATATATGTTAATTGCCTTTGAGGACCTAGATTTTTAAAAGCCAGGTAATCATAACTGCTTGAGTATAAACCTAAATAACAGTTCAGGATTATAGGGAACATTGGATTCTGACATTTTTGGAAACTATTTGGATAGAAAGCATGACTGTCCTGTGAGCTGAAATATTATTGCTGATTGTTGTCATTAATATTCCCTTCACGTATTACTCTATGTGCAATTCTGACTGACTGACTGACTTAAGGTTTAAAATTAAGTCTTGTACTTTCTGACAGGGCTAGGAGGATTTGATGTTCGGCTTCCTGTCTTTCTTGTCTCCTGTGCCCTAACCACTCACTGTTTCAGCAGTGCCCTAGCTAGTCAGCCTCCAGCAGAAGAGAGGTTTATAATAGTACCTTGAACTCAGACTCAGAAAGGACAGAATGGACACTGCCTATAAGCCATTTTTTTCTCTTCCTACGTGTAATTTATTCTCTGACTGGTTCACATTAAACTATGTATTTTCATATATTCACAAAGGGTGTATGTGTGTGCATGTGTGCAGCTGGGGGCATGATTTGATGTTCAGAAGTTGAAGATGATTGGTTTTCTTTTAGGAAATGGTAGGATATTAATCCAAGTCATTTCATTTCAACAGGTTGACATGATGAAAGAAGCCTTAGAAAAACTTCAGCTCAATATAGTAGAGATGAAGGATGAAAATGCAACCTTAGATGGTGGAGATGTCTTATTCACAGGTATTGTTGTGTTTACTTATTTCTCTTTTAAAGTACTCCTGGTACCTCATTTATATTCACTTATAAACATTTAATTATAATTTTAAAAATTATCATAGTAAGATGTTTAGAACAGGTCATTGGAAAATGTAAAAAAACACACACACACACAAAAGAAAAAACAAAGCTGATCTAAAGATAATCACTTAAATATGTGAGTACTTTTGTTTATATATATATATATGCATATTTTTTTAAAGATTTATTTATTTGTGCATACAGAACTGGGGTACAGGCCAGAGGTTCAAGGGCGGTGAGAGGCTTCACCAGAGACAGAGTGTGGAACAGAACAGGCAGATCGACGAAGTACACTGCTGAGGGGAGCAGCGGGCGGGTCAGAGAGGTCTGCCACGCCATGTGGTCACCTCCAGGGCAGGCGGGAATCATGCAGAAGCGGCTTTAGATTCTCAGTGCTGTGCTTTAACCCACTGCGCCACCAGGGAGGGCCTATATATGCATATTTTATACAAGAATATTATCTGTATATTCATATCATTTTCTGAATTGCATCTTCTGTGCCCTTCTACACCAAGAGTTTATGGGTTATATAGTTTTGCATTGTGTGACAGTACATCTTAATTCAGATGTGTGTTTTACAAATAATTATATTCCCAGATAGCAAATGGATTTAAATGATGTTCAATGCTTACTTACTTAGCGTAATGCCAGATGAAGTAGCAGAACTCAGCAAAACTTAAACTACTAGCATTATTATTGATCTAACTAGAGTCAGTTTTTTTTTTTAAGATTTATTTATTTATTCATACAGAACTGGGGTACAGGCCAGAGACTCAGAGGTGGTGAGACACTTCACCAGAGACAAAGCGGGGAACAGAACAGGCAGATCGACAAAGTACACTGCTGAGGGGAACAGCGGGCAGGTCAAGAGAGGTCTGCCACGCCATGTGGTCACCTCCGGGACAGGCAGGAATCGAACTCATGCGGAAGTGGCTTTAGCTTCTCAGTGCTGTGCTTTAACCCGTTGCGCCACCAGGGAGGGCCTAGAGTCAGTTTTTACAAGGAGGTAACAGTGCTACCAAGAAAGTGGTAATGCTAGCATTTAACTTTTAACCTCTTTATGATCATGTTGTTACTGTTTTGTAAACCCATGTGCTAAAATCTTTATCCCTAGATTCACTCTAGTTATATTAATAAGCAAGATAGTAATAATTTTTCATTTATAATGAGAATTTATTTTCCCCCAAGTGTTAGAGAATAAATACATTTCACAGATGTAATCCTAACATCAGCAGAGACTGGGCCTGAAGAATTTGATAATGTAGCTTCATGCTGAAAACATGACGTTTCTCAAAGGCTAATAATTTAGCTGATGTGAAATTTATATTGAAGGCAGTGTATATAAAGTAGAGCCATCTTTGTTTTGATATAAAACAATGTTTTAGATCACTTACATTTGATATGATTACTTTTCCTGAGTAAGGGGGTGTTTGTTTATCTGGTGACACTTTGAGTCTTGTGCAGTAGCACATACCTCTCGGCAAGGCCAGTGTTGGCTGAGCTCCAGAGGACGTAGTTTCATCACAGGTTGTATGAACAGGATCTCCTGGAACTGTGCCCAGCACAACCTGTGCCAACACTGTCATAGGCAGTCGCCTGCTTCTGGGATGTGGCTCCCAGGCCCACTGAGCCACAAGAACACAGAACAAGCTGTCACAGCTTCCTCTGCTGCAGTTTCAGCTCTGGCTAGATCCAAATGGATAGAGTTTGTAAGTTTTGTTTCAAATATTCTTCATTTCTCCCCTTGAGGCCACTTCCATTCTTTTTTGGAACATCTTGTTTTCCTTATGAAGCAGACTTTTGTGAACGCACACACACAAAAAAATTCAACTCTGAAAAATATAGTGGTCACCAGAGAGGCAGGGAGTGGAGAAAGGGAAGGGGTAGAGGGAGTGAAGGTGGCAGAGTAGTGACACTGGGTTTTGGTGGTGCATGAGAGAACCAGATACACACATCAAGGTTGTGCAGCCGTACTCCAGAAATATGCTCTTGTAAGCAAATAGTAAGTCAATAAAACTCGATTTGAGAAAAACAGACTTTTGTTAGAGGCTAAATGTGTAAATCAGATTTCCTACTTTTTTCACCATGTAATAATTTATTGTAAACAAGCGCTGATAAGATTTGAAGTTAGACTTAAAGCAAGCTGTGTTTGCAGCCATTTAGTTATCTTAACAGCTAAGCTGAAGGGATCTCCTAAAATCCTCAGTGTTACCACACAACTTTCATTAGGAACCTTTTCCTTTGGTGAAATGTCTTTCCACAGCACTGCAAGCCTAATGTTTTTGCCTAATATTTTTGCCTAGACTTCTCGCTTGGTACTAATTTAGCATAATCTGTACATTGTTTTGGGTCATAGTTAATACTTAATATGTTAAAAGTTATTTTATTCAAAATAAGGTGTTAGGATATTAAGATCATTATCTACTTGATAACTCCAAATGGCTGGCCCTACCTTGTGTTTCCTACTCCTCAGTTTTTTTCTTCTGGTAAAATATGCATAATAAATTTTACCATTTTAACCATTTTTAAGTGTTCCAGTCAGTGACATTAGGTTCACAATATTGTATACCCATCAGCTTTTAATTTTTGGATTTGGGAAAATTGAACAAGAAACAAAATCTGGCTTGTGTCATGTGCTCTGTGTTCTCTTCCTTTTGTAATTCAGAACTTCGTTAATAATTGATCAGGAGATGGATGGAAGGAAAGCAGTTTTCTAATTCCATTTCTGCTGGGAAAGCTGTCAGTCAGGCAAATAGCTCCTGGCAGAAATTGTTTCAATTCTGTTTCTCTTATATAGACATCAACTTACATCTACTTTTATTTATTCTTGTGAAATATGGAACATATTAAAAAAAAAGAGGTATAAAAGTGTTTATGTACAGTTTAAAGGTCAATAAAAAGTGAATACCTGGCCTACCAGTTGTATTTAAAAAAGAGAATATTGCCAGAATCTTAAAAGACCCAGTCCCAACCTCTGCCTCCCCAGCATGAGAAAACAGCTGCTTAGTTTTGTTGTGTCTTTGCCTTCTCTTTCTTTGAGTTTTATCTCAGTAAGTGAATTTTACCACCAGTATATTTTCCCTCAGTATGTATATAGTCCTAAATTGTAGAGTCTTGCTTGTTTTATAACTTTACATTATTAGAATCATACTATATGAACTTTCATTTGACTTTTCTGCTTTTGAGCTAACTTGATGCATAGAGCTGATTTCATCCATTTTCACTACTGTGTGGTATTCCACAGTGAGACTGACAGTGTATTTACTGCTGATGTGTATTTCATTGTTTTTCAGTCTTTGTCCATTATCTTCATTGTTACTATGTACATTCTTGTGTGTGTCTCCTGAGGAAGTATAGAGTTTCTCTAAACTCCTAGAAATAGAATTTCAGATAATAAACTCTTTTTTTCTTTTCTTTAATAAAATGATTATATGATTTTCTTTTTTAGTCTACTGATGTGCTTAATTACATTCCTTGATTTTTTGACATTTGGCCAGTCTTTCTGGGATGAAATCAAACTTGATTATGATATATTATCATTTTTTTTTTAAAGATTTATTTATTTATTTGTACAGAACTGGGGTACAGGCCAGAGCTGCGGAGGGTGAGAGGATTCACCAGAGACAGAGTGGGGAGCAGAACAGGCAGATCAACTAAGTACACTGCTGAGGGGAGCAGCGGGCGGGTCAGGAGAGGTCTGCCACGCCATGTGGTCACCTCCGGGGCAGGCGGGATTCGAACTCATGCGGAAGTGGCTTTAGCTTCTCAGTGCTGTGCTTTAACCCGCTGCGCCACCAGGGAGGGCTGATATATTATCATTTTAATACAGTGTTGCAGATAGTTCGCTCATACTTTATGATTTTTATTTCTGGGACCTATACTAGTTCTTTTTTGTTATTCTTGTCTGACTTTTGTAAACATTTTTGCTAATCTCATCAAATGTATTAGGAAATATTTATTATTTTTCTATCCTCTAAAATCATGACTATTTGAATTGTGAATTCTATGAATTTTGATAGAACTGCCTATGAATAGTCCCTGTTAGCCTTGTGCTTTATTGGTGGAGAGATTTTTAAAACTGATTCCTCTTCTTTACAAAAATTAGTACTTTTCCTGAGGCAGTTTGGTGTGTTGTTTTTGAAGAATAAATCTATTTTATATAATTGGTTGACTATAAGGTTATTCATATCTTCTTAAAGTCTGTTTAAGTGCTCATGGCAACTATAGCTATGTTCCCTTTTTATTTCTAATGGCTATTCATGCTTTCTCTTTTTTTCTTGCCAAAGATCTGTCAATTTATTGATCTTCCCAAAGGACCAACTTTTGACTTTGTTGAAACCTTTTTCTTGTATGTTTCCTTTCTTCTTCATGATCCTATCTTTATTTCCTTCCTTCAAACTTCTTTGCTTTTATTCTGTTCTTTTTTTCTTACATTTCAAGTGGAAATTTAACTCTTTAATTTTGTATATTTTCTTTCTTTTTTTAAAGATTTATTTATTGGCCCTCCCTGGTGGCGCAGCGGGTTAAAGCACAGCACTGAGAATCTGAAGCCACTTCCGCATGAGTTCAATTCCCGCCTGCCGCCTGCCCCGGAGGAGACCACATGGCGAGCCAGACCTCTCCTGACCCGCCCACTGCTCCCCTCAGCAGTGTACTTCGTCGATCTGCCTGTTCTGCTCCCCACTCTGTCTCTGGTGAAGCCTCTCACCGCCCCTGAGCCTCTGGCCTGTACCCCAGTTCTGTATGAATAAATAAATCTTTAAAAAAAAAAAAAGATTTATTTATTTATACATACAGGCCAGAGGTGCGGGGGGATTCACCAGAAACGGAGTGGTGAACAGAACAGGCAGATAAACAAAGTACACTGTTGAGGGGAGCAGCAGGTGGGACAGGAGAAATCTGTCTTGAGCAGCTGTTCCTTGTGGGTTAGCTCCCTGGCTGGGAATTGAACTCATGCCACAGTGGTAGGTGATAGCTTGATGGCGCTGACACTATAACCCCTGTACCACCAGGGAGGCCTTGTGAGTTTTCTTAAAGGGACAATTGTCCCCATAAAAGCTGTGAATGTGTCACCAAAGATCAGCCATTGGAATTTGTCATCACATGATTTAAACTATGTCATTTACTCCATTTATAAGGATATGATGACAATTAAAGATGTAACATTTGTAAACTGAGTCAAGGAATTCCTTCTATATGATGGTACTTATATTATACCTTGAAAACATATTTTTTACCTTAAAAAATCCTCTGGGACTAAAATGTACTGATTTCTCATTGAGCATTTCTCCACATTCCCTGTGGAATTCTTTTCTAAGGAATAAAGAGATTGTGAGATTCTCTTTTTTATGTATTGCCTAACCTTGTCTATTGTAATGGTTTGTTTACCTCTAACTAGGAAACCATTTTTGTTTAGTGATTTGCCTTCTGAAAAGAAAAAATTGCAGAATTTCATAAAAGCTAAACACACAGAACATTCTGTCCTCCGAAATGTTTTTACTTTTTAGATAGGCATCATTTTATGTTTTGATTTTACACTTGATCTTAGCCAAAAGGCTGAGAAGCAATTTTATGTTTTGATTTTAAATAAATGGATGTAAAGTTAGATCTCAGACCTCAGACCATCAGCATAAAACTCGCTTTACCCAGGTGGATATTTTCAGTCTTTACATTGCAATTGTCTGGTATCGTTCTTTTTTTTGGTGGTCGTGGGGGGTGTGGGAAGAAGAGGGTTACTAACTTGTCACTGATATTATTTAATTTCTAATTACAAATTGTTAATGTGTTTCAACTCTTGATTCTTAAATATATGTTTATTCTCTTATTGTGGTAAAATACACATAACACAGAATCTTCTATTGTAACCCTTAGTCAGTGTATGGTTCAGAAGCATGAACTATATTCATGTTATTACAAAGCCATCACTACCACCCACCACTTTTTCATCTCCCCAAAATAAAAATCTGTTGTTGTTACATACCAATGCTCTAGTTTAACTACTGTTCTATCATCTGCTTTTACATATTTGAAAAAAATTATTTTTAAGGGCAATAGTTTGAAATAAGGTTTGTGTATAGAGAGCAGGTGTCGAATACCCTTTATACAAACAGCCTTCTGTGGAAGGAAAGATTGTGTGATGCTTGAAGATTATTATTTGTAGTGAAGAAGTACTGAGCAGCCACTGATGCCATCTATTCACCATGTTCCCTAACATTTTTTAATAGGCAGAGAATTTTTTGTGGGCCTTTCCAAAAGGACAAATCAACGAGGTGCTGAAATCTTGGCTGATACTTTCAAGGTTAGTAAAAGATAATTTGTGTCTCATGCAGAGTATTTCCTACTTTAAAAATATTTCTAGACTCACTGACTCAGTGTCGTGAAAAGGGTATTTAGTGTCACCAACTTTGCAAAATAATCCCCAATGTTTGTATGTTTGCTACAAGTTTCAGAAGCTATGAAACTCAAATGTCTCGATAAATAGGGCTTCAGTGGGCTACCACAGAAATACAAGTTATTGTGGACATCTTCCACCTGACAGGTGTTAGCAGCAAAATCAATGGCAACTCAGTTGATTCTAACGTGAAATGTAGATTTTTCAAATTCGAATCAAGCATCACCTGTGCTTGGGGTGCCCACTAACTAGTGGGAACTGTCCTAAGTATTGCTCATATATCCCTTCTTTATTACATTGATTGATAATAATAGTTTGGCTCACCAGACCTGCCTAGGAAGAGACACAGTCTCCTAGAAGTTCTCATCCCTATGAAGATATGAGACACTGTTTGCACAGGATATTCAGATATCCCCCACAGATCCCCACTCCACAAATCAAACAGCCTGTGAAGCTGTGTGCACACAACTGAAACTGACCGTCAGCCACGTACTGGGAGGAGGGTCCATACTTACATCTTAGAAGCAGCCTAATTTTCACTGACAAAACCAAAACCTGTGTGTCTCAATTTTCCTTCCAGATACTCTGAGCCCCTGACAACCCCCAGAGGGATGGAAGTGTTTCAGATAGGTTTTAATTGGTGTTAGAATTCATCTGCAATGCCAAACTGCATGTTTCTATTATATGCATAGGATTATGCGGTTTCCACAGTTCCTGTTATCGATGCTTTGCATTTGAAGAGTTTCTGCAGCATGGCTGGGCCTAACCTAATCGCAATCGGATCCAGCGAACCTGCACAGAAGGCCCTCAAGGTAAATATAAACCTCTACTTCAAATGTAGTGTGCCTGCTGCATGGGCTTTCTAACATGGTCTGCTGGGTGGGTGGCAAGTAGGGTTGCCAGGAGAGTACCAGCTGGTACTTGAGAGCTGGAACTTGAGCTGTTGTAACTTCACATTCTTTAGGAAAGAGGAACAGAAGTGTAGGAAGAACTCTTCACTGGCAAACCATTCTTACACTGACACCAGGTTCCCTAGACCGTGGTTCAGAATAAAAAAGCAGCCAACTCATCACAGTAGTTCCTTTAAGGAAAAGAGGTCATGCCACCAGTTAAACTTTTCATGAAGTTTTATCTCCTCAGCCAGCTAGTTGGTACAAAAGGAGTTGTTTGTTCCTCTTATCCTCCTGCATGCCTGGACTATTTCATAATAATGTTTTAGAAATCCATGATTCAGAAGTACCTGAAAATATGAACTTCTTCATCTACATTTGGAATACTTTAAATTTTAGTTTAGGAATTTCCCTCATTTCATAAATGAGAAAAGGAAAACCCAGAAGAAATATGACCTTCCCACATCACACAGCTAGATCAAGACTGGAAATCACTGATACAGAAAGCTTCCATTTCTAACCGTGCTTTACAGTTAAAAGGCATGTTCCTGCCTGTAACTAACTAGATGTTCCACTGGTGCAGCGACCATGCCTCTTTTGCTCACCATTGTATTTGGGCCATCGTGGACCCATAATATATACCTGCCGAGTGAATAAATGAGTGAGGAGTCAATGAATGAATGAGTAGGGGGACAGTACCTCCATTTTGCAATGAGAATAGTAGAACAAGTGATTCACCCTGTTCGTGGAACTTCTGCTCCTTCTTTCGGTCGTCTTGCACAACATACATAGCTTGCTAACAAAGATCAAAGACAGGGACTTCACTTAGTCCAAGAGGAAATTGATGTATACAGTTTACCTGTTTCTCCTTTCAGGTCTTTGCTTTACTACCCCAGCACTAAGAGAGGTGCCCTTTGCCTTCTACATTAACTGCCACTTCTTTAGCCAGTCTTTCCTCCCAGCTTTTCTCAGGCTGAATCTTCGAGTGTATTTGTAGAACTTTGAACAATTGCTTCTGAACACTGTCTCAAACATGACTTGTATTATGGTGGCTTTTTCTTTGTTTCCTTTGGAGAATGTCTTCTGTCTCTTTCATCTGGAAGGATTTGTCAGCTTTCTATACACAGGAAAAATGGTATTATGAGGAAATTTCCAAGAAGCAGGAGACAGTACTCAGAGGCCCTGAGCAAAAGAGTGTATATTGATTCAGAGATATTGGACCACCACTCCTTTTGCAAAAAAATATTGGAGGGGGAAGCCCCTGCAATCAGAAAAAAAAAAAAAAAAAAACTACTGATGACCTGGAAAGATAGCCACATCCCAAACCCATTTTGTGCCTTGGCAACTCACTGTCATTTCTCCATTTGCCTGCCCTTCCTCTAAGACTACATTTATTTGAGGCCACCCTATTGGGACTTTATTGTTCTCCTTCCTACAGAGTTCACTTGACTTAGTGTTAATGCTGTTCATCCTCTGCTTGAAACTTTCTGTGCCGGAACCTATAAATAATCCTCACTAGCTAAACAGACTTTCTTTATATATTGTGTTTTGCACCAGCAAATGTGCTTCCTACACCATGGGCCCATGGAGTTGACAAATGCCCACCTGCCATGTTCTTAGTATCAAAAAGTTCTTCTAACCTTGTAGTGAAGGCAAAAGGACAAACTATACCAAAAAATAATCAAATCTCTATGATGGATGTTCTCAGGTCAGAAGTAGGTAAAAGCGTATAGGTTTTTTTTTTTTCTTTTCTATTCCACAGGTAAAAATACTGAGATCTAAAGAAATAAAGCATTGCAGATTGGTTTTAATGGTTCTATAATTGGGTTTCCTGGGCTTTGACATTCCTCTCCCTAATTGTCTACCCTGCCAAATTACTTTTTCTATTGAAAAAGCTTCCCTAATTATTTTGCCACACACTAATACTAGCTGAGTTTCCTATTTCTCTCCAGCTAGCCTCCTCTTTCCATTTTTTGCCAGAATCTTACCTGTCTCAGGGAAAATATGAGTGTGGTTCCAGCTGTCTGATTTTCCCATGCAAATCTTGATGTCTAGTCTTGCCTCAATAGAGAAGCCCTTGGCCACTTGGGCATCTATTTGAAGCACACAGCATTTAAACAGAGGTGAATTGTGTCATCCTTTACCAACATTGAAAGGTTGATTACTTCCTACATTTGTCTCTGCTTGCTGTGCATTTGCTTCCTTCAGAATCTGAAAGCTTTCTTACATATCCAAGCAAAACTGAGAGCCCAAGGGTTTCTGGGTAGTCTCATTGCATTTGAAACACTTTGTAATGGGTTGCAATCTATTCTTGGTTAATGAAGTGCGTTCTTAATAGAGATAGTCATCATACGTATCTAGGTTGTAGCAGATTTAATAGAGTGTGTGTTGTATATTTAAATGAAATCATCCATCTAGGAAGACTTTAGAAAATCTCTATTTAAAAAACCCAGAACACATTTAAAACATGGTACATTTAATATACATTTAACACACAGTATGTTTAATCCAGAGAAGGAAAGAAGGAGGACATATTATTTCTGCATTTTACCAATGATATGGCTGGAGGCTGGACAAATTCTTCAAGAGATTTAGCAACAATTCCTAATCTAGAAATGCTGTTGTCTAAGGAAAATTAGTCTTGACAGCAGCCTGCACTTTCTATAGTTTTTCTCCTCTACTTCCCACCATCTCCTCATGCCCCTTGAGTAACCACCACCTTCATTCTACCCCTCCAGTTATGCATATTGGAACTCCTCCAGCTTCATGCCTCCCACTTTTGTAGCAGTATATGGTGAGCCCTGGAGAGAGGAGGGGAATGTGTGTAATGTATTTTTTAATATATATAAAACTGTCATTTTCACGCCATGTCACTAAGTGCTATTTCTTTATTAAGTCTTTGGACCATTTATGAATAATAATAAATATGTACCACTGGCATGGGAAAGAAAAGGGAATTCCAGTGTACATAACTGGAAGGGCAGGATGAAGGTGGTGGTTACCCAGGGGCATGAGAGGAGATTGTGGAAATCTTAGGGGGAAAACTGTAGAAAGTGCAGGCTGCTGTCAAGACTAGTTTTCCTTAGACAATAGCATTTCTAGATTAGGAATTGTTGCTAAATCTCTTGACGAATTTGTCCAGTCTCATAAAAGAAAATAAAGCAAGATTAATTAGTGCATAATAGGCATTACATTACTAGGATTCTTCCATAAGGAATGTGTGCTTTCTTTAAAAAAATGAGAGTCCCAGTTGCTACATAACTGGAACTGCTACTCACAATATAATTTGAGTAAAAGTAGCCAACCTCCAAAAGAAGACGTGTTCTGTTATATCATTCATTTAATGTTAAGCAAGAGACAAAACTACTCTGTGCTGTTATCAGTCAGATTAGTGGTTACTTTAAGAAAGAGAGAGGGAGTTGTGGTCTGGCAAATCACTAGGAAACACACACACACACACATACCTTATTGTTGGATGTGAGTTATGATTAACTTACAGAAGTAATTCTCTGATAGCTAGGTCCATCTAAACCCTGCTTTACCTTGTACATGATGAGGATGACTCATAAAAAGCAGACTAAGCTATTTTTTTTAATAAAGAAAAAATACTAAGAGTATACCTGTTAACCAACATCTCCCCAATTTTCTCTCTCCCCCAGCCCTTGTACATCATAAATACATACAATTTATAATTGTGACTTATACTTCCATAAAATTGGAAAGGAAAAAAGACATAGTTAACAGTAGATCTGAACCACATCTCACTCCTTTTTTCTAGATCCGCGCCAAGTTTGACCTCTTTCCAGGAACCTGAATTAATTATATGCTCTCTATCTCAAGAAGACAGATTCTAATTTTTACTTTCAGGAGGAACTCAGAGTAACGATTTTTAACTCAATCTTCTAGGTTGCATTCAGTCTTCTAGTTAATTAAGAGGAAAAGGAAAAAATGGAAGGATGAATGGCAGGGAAGTAGGACGGAAGGAAAAGGGAGAGATAGGTAGGGAATTACTCTTAGCTAACACTTTCCTGAAATTAGTCAGGTGAGGAAGCCGCTGATGGAACAGTCTCAAGGATGCAGGTAGTGTTGAGTTGGGGGACTGTGCCATCTGCTGACTGGTGTGTAAGAGGAACATTCTCATCTCCCTAACTAGCTTATGCAGGAGCCCAGTGATTCTCTTTTTTTGGCACCTGCAGTTTGTTTAATGTCCTTTCTATTATTAATCAATTATTTTGCATCACAATCATTTATTATTTTTAAATGCTTTTGACAAAAATACTAAAAGGATGTGGTAAGAAAACAAAGATAACGCTCCATTGTTTGTCTTTGTCATGTAACTGGAATTAATATATAGTAAGTGGAATTCCAGTATCCTTGTAATTTTAAATGAAAATGCTCAAATGCATCTTGATGAAATGTCTTTTTGTTTCTTATCTACTTCCTGAAATAACTAATTTCATTAGCAAAATTCCTTGAATGAGAATATTGAGTGCCTTGCACCTAATTTAAATTGCATAGCATTCCACTTGCTTTTCTTTTGAGTGACTAAGTGACAGAGGTCACTCAGATAGTATTTCCTCTCATTTTGACCCAACTTCAACATCGATTTTATGTCCAAAAATGTCCATGTTATTTTATAGATAATCATACAAAAAATGAAGATGGAAAAACCCTTAATGTTTTTAGGTTTTGTATGTTTTTATATACCCTGGAATTTCCTTTAGTGACAATGGTGAAACTCAAAGACTAACTGTGAACTAACTAGTATAAACAGAGTGAATTAAATGGAAAAATAAAGACTGCATTTTTAGTTGTGTTGTCACAGGGAATTATACTTTATAGCCACAAGATTTTCCCCTCTGGGTCTCTACTGTGAGGGCATGCTGACAGTGCCTTTGTAGGTTTAATTTCATCTAATTATC